AGGAATATAGGCGCGATTTACGAATAGAATAATATTGTCGGAATACTCGAGTGGTATTATATCACAAGCCTTCTGTAGCAGTAATAACAATTGGTGGTTAACATATATCTTCTCTTTCTTCCCTTCTAACTAAAAGAAACACGTATATACAGCAGTTATCCCTATCTCCTGACGCCATTCCTAAACAAGTAACTTATTACTCATCAACATAATTAGTCATCATTTCAATGATAATACATTAAAGGTCATAAATTCGTTAGGTTGTTCGACAATGAGAAAGGCTAGTCCTAGGCAATCAAGCATTCCTCCACTTATCAATCACAACGAAGTTCTCATCTCTGATCCGCTAGAGCGAGCCACAGCTCTCATTGACTCTTTCCTTACAAGACACCAAACATCGGACGACCTGCCACCATGCACTGCCGCGAGCAATGTTAGAATACCATGGAAGGATGAAATCTCCGAGGAATAAGTCCGAGCTTGTACCATCGGCTGTAGAAACACGGCCCCGAGATCAGACGGAGTTTTCGTACAGCTGCTAGTGGCCTGCTGGAAGACAATTGGACCATGCGTATTCAAACAGCTCAGAGCTTGCATGCAACTTGATACGCACCCGACCTGTTTCAGTTTGGCCGAAGTGGCTCTTGTATAGAAGCCTAAAAAGGACCCAACAACAGTCAAAGGTTGAGGACCAATCGCCCTTGCTCCTACTCTACATAGTAGAACCAATGCGCAGCGGCACGACTGGTCTAAGGTTTAGTTACGCTGATGACATCGGTATTTTTGGATTTGGCCGCACTCCTGCTGAGTCCGCTTTCGCTGCTCAGAAAGAAATTGGTCACTTACTGGATTGGGCGCAGAAGAATGCCGTCGAATTCGACACAGAAAAGTCAGAGAAAGAATAATTCTGACCTCGGCATCGCGAGGAAGCTGTTAGCGTCTACATAAACGGCACTCTAATAGATCCAGCCAAACATCTTCGCTAGCTTGGAGATCACCTCGATCCGCGACTTAACTTCAAGCATCTTGTAATGTCTTGGTCTAGAAAAGCAATGGAATTCGCACATCTTATACGATGTTTCAATTCTACTTCTCGAGAGGCCGCACCAAGGGCGTTGATACGGGCAGCAAACAGTTGTATTGTTTCAATCGCGACTTTTGGTGCGGAAGTCTGGTTTCCAGGCCTCAAACGCCCAACAAGAGCAGGAATAGCCACGCCAGCTACCGCGAGCCTCTGTACTATGATCGATAAAGCCATCATGATGGGTCTCCGATCTGCACTTCCAGTTCTGCAAACTACTCTAAATGTGGAACTGCACAGGGAAAGAGGAAACCCACCCGCAAATATCATTCTAGAGAGAAACCAACTACGATTCTCGTACAGAATAAAACCCTCAATGATCGGCACCTGCTGGGATTTTGTGCTGCAATTTGCCCAAACGTTGGGACTCGAAAGTACAAGAAGAATCCACGAGTATTTGATCATATAGATAGACAAATGACTCATATATAGCGAGCTTATAGACAACTTCCAGACGCACAAGCTTCGATACCTCTGCCGCCAGTATTTTACTCTGCTAGGCCCATAACTAAGTCAGAAGGAATAGAGGCGAGCAAATGTTGGAGGGACAACGTGCCCACATCAGAAATTTGTGCCTACTCAGACGGCTCATCAGAAGAAAACGGAAGATTAGCTTGGGGTTTTGTTCTGAGGAGATATGGCAAAACTCTTCTAAAAGAGAGTGGTATCCGACATGGAGAAGTCCTGGACGCGGAAATCACAGGGGCGCTAAAGGCTCTTGAGGCGGCGCTGAGAATAAAAGAAGCGCAACATCAGCAGTGGGGGGCAATACGGCGAGTGAATATGTTGCTGGACAGTCAGCATGCTGTAAAATCATTTGAGACGTGCATCTCTTCAACCAGCTTCGAAGAAGTACAACAGTTTCGCCTGCTTTCAGCATCAGCTATCTTGACATTCAAGTGGATCCCCGGTCACTCGGGAATACAGGGGAACGAAGAAGCAGACACAATTGCGCGCCCCGGTTTACGAATGTTGCCTAGTCCGGACAGTCAATCAGGATCTATCTTGTTTATATACCTTCGCCGTATCATGAATAACCGGCTACAAGATTTGCTCAGCGATCGGTGGGATAAAGCTTGCCCTATTCGGTATCGAAAGCTTGATCTACTCATGTAACGGCGTAAGCCGCTAGAGCTGGCTCTATCAAGGCATCTACTCCACGAATTGATTGCAGCCCGTACGGGCCACGGAAATTTTGCAACCTATAATCGCCGATTCAACAATGTAGATGCACCCAATGAGTGTGCGTGCGTGGAGGAGACTAGTCCTACACTTCATACACTATCGAGTACATTCTCACGAAATACGTCGAATCCGAGGTCTAAAGTCCCACAACGACTTTTTACACCAACTTCTCGTACCCAAGTGCCTTGAAGACTTTAGAAACTTTACACAGAAAACCCGATCTTATGGGTGCTCACCTGCAGGTTCGATCTCTGCTCCCAGGGAGGTCCAATTAAACTAGTCATGGAACATGACACGATAGGAAGGGAAACGAGGCGAGAAGCTTTGCTTCCCAACACTAAGTGTTAATATTAGTTTAGAGCTCACAGTTTTGGAACCGGGAGTTTCTGTTATGATTTCTGTTTTATGTATTGCTGCAAGTAATTTAACTAGCTACTATTTGTGCAGTGGTTCACGTGGCGGGAACAAGCTGGGCGTGTCATAGATATGATTTTAGCTGTAAACACCGGTCTTTGACCCTTAGGGGGTAGCGGGTGTAACCTAGGACTTCAAAATTTAAACAAACAAACATGACCGGTGTTGGGGTTCTATTCTCAACACCTTTCAGTGGTGTCCCCTACGAACCTCCAGCCCTCACTGTAGAGTCTGCAGAGCCGAGATTGAGTATCAAAGTCCTCACTTCGATGAGGATTCCCAATGGCTTTCGCGGTCTGTATCGTCTTCATCTCTCAACATATTCCCCTATCACCACTATCATGAAGCTAACCACGACCAGATCAGATAGTAGGGTCTGAGCCCTACTCATCACTGATCCTTGATCATGCAGGAAAAGCCATACGATGAGTTTCCGAAGCGTGCCCAGCACCCGATATGGAGATGGTGGATTGGATCAAGTTGGCCTCGAATGTTACAGAGAAGAGAGATATAGATGAATATGCGCACCTCATGTGGTCCCGGTGTCTAGGGCTCGCCTAGCTAGGGCTGCAGGTTTTTTGAGACCTTTTCCCGCGCGCGCAGTTTCCATTGCTAGCTTTTTTTTTTGGGTAGAAGATTCCGTGGAAAAGGTGGCCGAATTCCACGGGTAAGCACTGAGCTGATTGGCTATTCATCAAGGGGAATATATCAATGATCTTACAAGTAACAAAAGAGGATAGGAGCACTGTACAAGGTGTGGCCTGGGTCAGAGAGGAGCCCAATGTGCTAGATAGTCATAGACTCAAGTACTACAATAAACACACATGACCGGTGTTATGTATACATATTGGATATCTCTTTTGACAAGAGAAATACTCATAATCAAGATTTCATTCGCAGATAACACTTAGGTATATTTGCTTACACAGATGCGTGACCCGCCCGCGTAAGTACCCACCAAAGAGACATTTCAAAGCCTTTGTCATCTGTACATCCCAGCGCCACGAAAAATGTGGTTTTGTTCAGCTGTAATCGAACCAGCGATTTCCTGTCTCGAGTAGGACATCTGTCCGAGCAATCCAGGCCTTACTAGCGAAACCTGCCAAGATGACGTACCACCGCACCATCCAACCATGGCAATGTTTATAGTATCACCTTTTACTAGCAACCGAAGTCTTGGCACGCACAAAGCTCAATTTATGAAACTCATTGCCATAATTCAAAATTGCACGCACATCGAGATTGTCTCTACACTCTGCATCACCTTGTAAAACTGTCCTGATTAGCCTCACTCTCATCCGGAGAAACTTCCTCCCAAATTTGTGCATCAGGTAATGTTTCCAACGTCGGGTATAAATATCTGTGTATGCGTGTAATTGGTAGCCAGGTGAGGCTTGAGAATAGTCGATAAGAGGTATGGTTATTGACATGAGGTTGTACTAAATCGTACCAGTTAACTTGATAAGGTGTTGGTAGGGATCGATCTCATTTGAAGTGAGATATTTATTTGGTTAAGGGTAGTGAATCGTTGCCTCGCGGACCAACTTGTTTGGTACAACGAACTTTGACTAAATTTGGCTGTGAGAGAACATTTCGCTCCCAGGTTCGTGGAGGACACCGCAGACAGGTGTTCTGTTTTTGCCTTCCGGACTCTTCGCTTAGTCAATCATCAAAAAGTGGCGCAATCTAGATAACCTGATTAAACGCACAGTAATTTTCACTTCTTACCTTGTAAACGGTCGTTTCGGAGCGATTCTAACTCGTGGTGTCGCTCATGTGGCCCGTTGAGCTAGAGCACGGCTGCCTGCAGTGCGTTCATGCACATTTCATTTATTGCTAACAAGCGATCGAACATGCCTCATATTGATTGCCGTTGATTTATCCTGATGATATAAAGCGGTATAGATCCTACTACCGTAATCCTCGCACACATTGTTTCCACGAGTTTCTACAACCTGTAGGTAGATACTGGGTTTGTTATCATCCACGTGGTTGACACATAGTGGGGCTAAATGTAATACGATGGGGTGAATATGCCCATCTTCGCCACCAGCACCATTATCTTTTCATTTGTTCCTGAACTTCGGCCTATCACCCTTGGTTCATGCACGCATACACTAGAGTAACTACGCTGAAACGTCCGGCTTAGGTATATCCTAACCGACTATGATTCCGATTAAATAATAGTTATTAATCTACCGCAGTCTACAATTGGAAAGTTTGACATTGTGGATTGTAAGACCAGGGGATTACACTAAAAGAAGATCTTACCTTGTCGTCAGCCTGTCATTGCACATCCTTTGATCGAAGCACCTCGACTATGATAATATGCCAAGTTGCGGCTCGAACACCAACTCAATTGACCGCTGCAAATTCTACAGCTAGCTCTTTTGATTACAGATGCTATGGGGAATTCCCATGTGAAGCCATGCTTCTCCGACGAAGGTAATTGTGACAGCTGCTTGTGTAAGGACAAGGAGTGCACTTGAAGCTAACAGTTCTCAGTAAACTTAAGCCATTTTCGCTTGCTTCGTGTGGTCGGTAGAGGTGCGTTTGGCAAAGTGCGGATTGTCGAGAGACGAGATGTAATGCGATAGAGGCTTTCCGCATTTACTGGCACATTTTAACGATCCATAGACTGGTCTTACGTTTGCCTTGAAGTATATCCGTAAGGGAGATGGTGAGATAACTTGACAACAATCAACCTCCACGATTCTTACAATATGGATAGTCATTCGCACCGAAAGCGTTCGCAACATTTTACGCGAAAGACGGATGCTCGAACAGTTAAACTATCAATTTATTTGCAACCTGCGGTACAGCTTCCAAGATATTGAATACATGTATTTGGTCGTGGATTTGATGAATGGCGGAGACCTACGTTTTCACATCTCTCGGAAAGTATTCACTGAAGAAGCTGTTAGATTTTGGATCTCCGAACTGGGATTGGCCATACGTTACATTCAGTAAGACTACTCAAATTATTCAACTCAATAAAACTATCTGCAACTGCTGATATAACATTACCTCAGCTCCCAGGGAATTATACATCGAGATATAAAGCCAGATAATGTTCTCCTTGACGCCGAAGGACATGTCCACCTCGCTGATTTTGCACGTATCTCCTCATATATCCAAATGACGCTAACATTAATAGAATGTCGCTTCTGACTTTACTCCCGGGAAATTACTTACCAGCAAATCTGGGACGCTAGCTTACTTAGCACCTGAGGTGTACAAAGGCAAAGGGTATTCTTCAAGCGTAGATTGGTGGTCGTTGGGGGTACTTTTTTATGAGTGCATATACAACAAAGTAACACGTCAACAAATCCAATTGTAATCCAGGAAATAATGCTAACAAATAACTTCAGAGACCATTTGAAAAGATTAGCAGCTCTGACCTGCAGGAACAGATTTTAAAGGCAGATCCGAAATTTCCTATCACAGATCCACCAGTATCAATTGTTTGTATGCATGCAATCAGCTCAGCACTTGAACAGGATCCTAATAAGCGCATGGGATGTACAAAAGATGAAGGATTCTCTAGCTTTACTGATAACCCCTTTTTTCGAGCAATCGATTTTGATGCTTTAGAACGAAAAGAAGTTGAACCTGTTTTTGTACCATCCAGCGGCAAGACTAATTTCGACGCCACATATGACCTGGAGGAAATGCTTTTAGAAGAAGCGCCTCTCGAGGCTCGTGCACGACGGCAGAAGCCTCGGGAACAGCTTAGGGAAGACGCCACTGAAAAGCAAATTCGCGAAGAAGAAATGTATCAGATGATTGAAGAACATTTTACTCCTTTTGATTACACCACTGTTGCATATGAGAGGTTAACCTACTCCCGTATATCCCATTTTAACTGAGCTAATAGTTATGCCAGATTTCTAGAAGGTTCTGAAGCCTGCCAAGGATGGGTCGATTCAACTCAACTTCAAACAGTACTTTCAGCGGTAGAAAAAAAGAAACCTCTAGATAGCCATGTCTTTCATAAATATTCTACAACGCCACTAAATACCTCTAAATCCCATTCTTTATCACCTGATGGTTCGCGACAAGTCAAATCTAATTCACAAAACCTCTCAGCAAACAAGCATACCTACGAACATAATTCAAACTGCTCATTCTTACCCCTGCTTCCTCTTTTAGAATCCGATCATCAGTCATCCCAAGCGACAGTCAAAAAAAGTGTCATAGACAATGATATGCATCTTGTCGTGAGGGAGAGCGAAAGTTGGTCAGCACTTGCTCATCACGACTCAACTCTGCCTGCGGAAGCGAAGGCAGAAATATCATCAAAAGTGCCCGGAAAACGATCATTTCTAGGTATAAAAAAAGGACGAAATCATAGCCCAAAGACTTATGAGAGAGGTATTCTCAGTAAAGGTTCTAGGGTTATAGTAAGTGGTGGCTAACACCCAATTTAAAAGTGGTGCGGATAAAACCAAAAATTAAAGCATGGGGTATATGAGAATTTCTTTTGTTTATTTTCAAATGATATTATGACGCAATGCCGCACATATGGTCGGAATTTCCGACAGATATAAAAGCTAGAATCTACAGGCGAAGTATCTGAATCTTGGCAAAATTCAACTGCTACAGAGTAAGAACCAAAAAGTTGGCACACGAGATTGGGTCGGGTCATTCATTAGATGCAGGTTCTAGGTTTGATTTTGGAGTATCATGTCTTGAGGAAATTTAGGGCGTTGGTATTGCAACTGTAGTATGACTTCAAGAATTCGAGTTACAGGCCATGCTTTTATTTAATTGATCTTTAGGAGAAGTACTTTGACAGATAACATGCAACTATGTAATAGTAGCTTTCAATGTAGTCCAGCCAAACTCTTACAGGTTGCGAGATCAGGTTCTTGGGCGAACTGTAATATTGTCACAATCATTCGAGTTCAAGGGTTGGCAGCGTTTGTTGGAAATAATGGTCTGAGGGTAGAGATGGTTCAGTTCAATTGATTTGATGTCTATTATCATAGCTTAAGATTTTATTCTCTTGCCGATAACAATATACTGCCTCAACAGTTCCATACGGAGGGCAAGACTGAACACCTGTACGCGGTGTCCTCTACGAACCTGGGAGTGAAATATTCTCCCAGAGCCAAGTTCAGTCAAATTTCGCAATATCAAAGAAGTTGGCCCACGAGGCAAATTTTCAAATTACTCCACCACGTCGTTTTTTCGCTCCCAACGAGTTTGACGCCTACCTAAGTCTCATCAAGTCTACAAGTACAACCTAGTACATCCTAATTCCAATGATCACACCTCTCTTCGATCTTCTCTGGTCTCAGTTGACCACCAAATACACGCCTACGCCGATATTTATACCCGACGGAGGAAGCAAAGCGTGGCGCACAAGTCTGGGAGACAGTTCTTTGGGATGGACGTGAGAGGGATTAGGACAAGTTTACAACATGATGCGACGGAAGGATTTAGCCTCCATGGGAGTGAAATTCCGAATTTTGGCTAGGAGCTTTACAAAATGAAGAGAAATTTGCGCGCCAAGACTTCGCTTCCGAGAGTGCAGCTGACACTATAAAAACAAGCAAACGATGGACGGTGTTGTGGTCCGCCTCCTGATGGTGTTCTCCGGTATAGTCTGAGTAGCCTTGACACCTACTCCACTTGGGAAGAAGACATCTCAGACCATATTTCTCGCGGAGAAAAGTTGATGGATGACAAAGTCAAGTCTGGATAACTCAGGGGTTTTGAGACGTTCCCCTTGGCGGGTATTCACGGATGAGGGTTGACTTGGGGTGAAGAAGAAGCCACCATAACTTCGCAGTGGTACTTGCAAATGAAATCTGAGGCATGAGTGCTCTTCTTGTAAATTGAGTAACCTACTATACCCTTCTCTGATATTGTGTCATAGTGTTAGGCTCTACGAGTCAATTGAATAATATAAAAAGTAAAAAGTGTCGATTAATTCCTGGCTGCCCTTTCTCTTTCTGTTACTCTCTAGATTATGTATTTCCAGAAAATGGCAATGCTCTATCTGTCCCAAACTTGTCCCCATGAACCAAGTTTCTCATGGTTTAGAACAAATATCTCGAGTCAGAAGATATATAGTTCTTATTGCTACAACCAAAGAGAAAAATCTTTGTCCGAAACAAGTAGCTCCAAGCTTTGTAAACCTTACACCTTAAACTCTATATCTAACATTGATCGCTTCCAAACTACCCATAGTTTGATACGAAGCTAATTAGCTAGCTGCATATGTAGTTAAAATCTGATGCAGAAAAAAACACAGTACGTCTATGCAACTACTGTACAGCCCTACATGGCCACTTTGAAGTTCGAGTATTAGAGCGCAGCTCTACGTAATGGCATTAAGTTATGGGGAATAGCATGGCATGAAAATGAGATTAAAGAACATACTGTTGGAAAATATACTCTGTAAGATATTATATGGATATATATGATGAAGTAAAGAAGACTTGATGTTTTACAACTAAGGGAAAATTGGAGTTATATATGCATCTTAGGGAGAAATTCTTGCTAGTCTCATGTGCCTATCAAACCAAGTGATGACCAGCCACCTCTCATCTACCATGATGAGCCAAGGTACCGTGGCGCCATGATTTCAGGTTTTCAGTCGATTTAGATGGGGCGCATATTTGCTACAGGGGTCACACCCCTGTTAGCGCCAATTTCGACAGGGTACATAATTCTTGTCCTGTATTTCCAGGCCTAAACCGAGGGCACAATTTGATTTCATGTCACCCTCAGTTTTATGCAAATCCAACCCGCTCTCTAGTTCTTTCCCATTACTTTGATGAGCGTCGACCGCTAAAAAATTACACAGCTATTCTCACCTTGTGCTTGAGTTACAATAAGAATTAGATTTCTCAACTACTAAGTTATTTATTCAGAAGACACATGGCTTTACACGATAATAACCTTATTTTACAGATGAATCCACCTCAAACCCCACCTTCAACACCTCGAATCAAACAATTATTCAGGGATCAAAACATTTTAGTAAGTAGAAAAATTAGAAATAATCACGAGAAGAGGAATTGGCATGAAGGCAGCTATAATGTAGAGATGAAAGAAGTATATCGGCTATGAGGAGAGAGTATCTAGAGGCGGACGGGGACTATATGCCAATGTGCATGTACCACATGTACTCACGCTATTGTACCTAGGGCCAGGTTAAGGCGAGGCCGTAACTGATATGAACAAAGATAAATTAAAAGAAAAATTAAGATTTATGGGCATCATGAATCTGGCAAAAACCAGAGGCAGATTGCCGCGCAACTAGGTATTTCTCGGGGACAAGTTAGCTATTCACTGCGCCGCGGAACTGTCTCCCCCAAAAAGAGAAAAAGAAAATCCTCAATGCTGAAAGCAGATGATGTTGATCAGATTATATCTTATGTTGAGTCTTCACCTGAAAACCACCGCAAAACATTTCTGGAAATCGCCTCTTGCCCCTTTAGACATCTTGGTGTTAGCGAGCGGGTAACACAAAGAGAACTTCAAAAAAAGGATATCAGCGACATGTGGAACGTCTAAAGCCTCCAGTATCTCAGAAAACTATGAAGACACGCAGAGAATGGGCCGAAGCTCATCTCAATTGGAAATATGAAGACTTGACGTCAGTTTTATGGACAGACGAAACTTGGTTAGAGGATGGAAGACATTCTAGAGATTGGGTGACAAGAAGTGTTCGTATATTGCTCAATAAGAAGATGGTAATTTGATGCTCTAACATTATGAGCTAGACTTCCCAAGAATACAACGCTAATTGTGTTCGAGAAAAATCGAAGAATAGGGTCGGATGGATGTTCTGGGGTTGCTTCGCAGGGCCAGAAAAAGGCCCTTGTTTGTTTGGGGAGAAGGAATAGGGTTCCATTAACTCCCAAAAATACTGCGAGAGGATAGTTACCCTTATCGATAGCATGGTATAGATGAGACCTCGGCTTTCCGTGACGCAGGATAACGCTCCTACCCACACAGCCGCAATTACAATGGAAGATGTGAGCCAGAGGCTCATTCAACCGATTTTCTGGCCGGCCAACTCGCCTGATCTTAACCCGATTGAAGCTGTTTGGAATAAGATGAAGGATTACATCCAACGTCATCATCCGAATCTGGGAGTTGCGGAAAGCAGCGAACTCAGGATAGTCTTCGCAACATTGTAAAGGAGGCATGGGATTCCGTGTCTTCCGAAGATCTTGTGAGACTCATTCAGAGTATGCCAGCAAGATGTCAGGCTGTGGTAGATGCAGATGGGGGACCGACCAGATATTAAGGCCGGAAAATATTCCAGCCACATGTTTAAATCTACGGTTAGGATAAGACTGGTGTTATGATATAAGACAACGAGGTAATCAAGGCTAGGGCATCGCGTGTGGCTCAAGGCCACAGCATACATCACTAGTGTACTAGTCAGGCGAGCATGTATATAGTTTCATAGATGTACCCACAATAAATGGACACAGGTTTAGTCTTATACTTTCTGTCCATATACCTACAGCATAATATTGTATGAATCTATTCACTGTCAACAACTAATTATAACATCATCCACTCCTCATCACTCCGCAATGTGACTTCTGCATAGATCATAACCACAACAACTGGCTCTATTTTGTAATTTGAAAACCTCTGAACTCTTGTAAATAAGTTATAAAGTCAAGTAGCAGAAATGCACAAATGTTTTGCAGCCAATCATATTACAAATTAGGTTTAGTACGAAGGAAAGACCCACTGCAAACTATGGTGTCCAGATAAAAACTGCCATACTAATTTTTTCAGGAATTTGCACAAATATGGGGGCTAACTCCAATATGGAAGGTGACTATGCCTAAGGCATCTTAGTTTACACGCTAAAAACCCTGCTAAAGTCCCACTGCAAACTTGACACCGTGACACCACGGTATCTATATAATCAAACTTGTACAGTCAGGAGAACGACTGTTTAACCGACAGAAGCGAAAGCTCTACCAAGTGTATCACTTTCAATGCTTCTGCTGCAGCCCCTGTTCTGCAGCATTACTCCTCACTGGTCTCCAACATTTCGTGTTCTTAGAAGAGTCTCTAGACTTTTAGCTTGTTGTCTCTCCAACAATTGAAGGCCGTTTTTTTTTTAAATCATTAATTGTATGCAGCCTATCTAGCTATGACACTGATTACATTTTGATATACATTGACATATATTCCCATTTCCCCTTGTTATAAATACATGTAAATTTTTTTTTTAATATCTTTAATAGAGCATGTTATTGGTCTCAAGATTCATTTAATTTCCATCCTCCTCATCTTTGCCCCCATAGAAACAGCCAGATGAGGAGAGATATCTTCATAGTAAAGTTTTCCCCACATATGTGTTGAATTAATTCTTTAGTATAAGTGGTTTCAAGTCTTTAAAGTGTTCTTGTCTCTACCTTTTAAAATTTGA